TCGAAGTACCGAAAAATGCGACGTCGCCCGTACACGAATACTAACGCGGATTAAATTCCTCGGCTGGGGTTGTAAATCCCAGCTTTAACTTTAGGTCTCGTTAATACTCGCGACGCGTCGATTTACGAATTTCTTCAGAAATCGACTGATTCAACTCTGATCTCCGACTGGTTGAGATCAGATCACTAGTTGTAGTTGTCCCGAACGATGGACTGACTACTGTTTGAATGAATGAATGATATCTCGTTACTCCGAACGATTGAGTCTCTGAGAATATCGTCACTCCGAACGATTGAGTGTAACTGATGTGTCCCGAACGATGGACTGAACGTTGTGTAATGAGCGAAAATTCCCTCGAGTGCGATCCTGTAGGTGTTTTTATACGACACCTACAGGTTTTGTGTCGAGTGCGCTGATTGGAAAATTGAAAATACCCAATCAGCACATAATTCCAAAAATCGGGGGCGTCTTGGACGACGCCCCTTGGCCAGCCCTCTTGGTGCAAGGGTGAGGGCAATGGCCACGTGCGAGGGATCCTCGAAGATTTGCCGATGCCTTGGAAATTTCCTCCAAGTTGACGCATGGCTGGCGGAACCGTTACGAACGAGGTTCGCGTCGACCCTTCGGAAATTCCCGGTTTATGATATGGTCGGTTGTCTGTACGAACGACGAAAATTCCAAAACTATGGTCTGGACATGTGCGGATTAACTAAATGATTTTCTCATGGTTTAGGGTGCAATTGCCCCTTGTAACTAAAATAAATAAACTGAGTTCGAAAAAAGCTAATCCCGAAAGTAAATTTGTTGGCACGTCCATATCATAAACGAACCTTCGAGGATTTTCTCCGTTTTGTTCCGCGTCGGACGGAACACTGTGTATAATATATAATTTCTACATTTTTACTTTTTGTGCTACTTTCAAATGATAGATTGTTTTACACAAGTATAGTATAGCATATTTTTAAATTATTTTTTCTATTTATTTAGTGCCTTCATCAGTGGTTTTGTATGTATCATTCACTTATATGAATATGAATATTTACAACTTGATATTTTTACAATGTTTATATCATCAGCGTTGCAAAACTTTGATTTTATTACATTTTGTATCAGTTTATAATGTAATGATTGGTATACTTTCATTACTGTTATTTAATTAGTCGTATCCTTTACTGCATATTTTCTACTGTTTTATACGATTCTTTCTTTGTGTTGATATTTAATTATCAGTTATAGTGTTTTTATTAATCCCTTTAGTGGGTTTTGATCCTACTATTTTTTCAGCATTTGTTGGATATGGCATACTTTTTTATATTTTTATTTATTTTAATTTGAAATTTATTTGTTCGTTTCATTTTGGCAGCTACTTATTGTTACTTCTGTCGAATGGAAAATTGTTATTGCTTCTTGGATAATTTGAAATCAACAGACACTAAGAAAACGGTATCTTATCTGAACGATCACGTTCTGCAACTCTGCAGACACTGCATCAGGCAATTCCTCACCGCATTGCTGGAAACACGGAATATTCCACGATTCCCCCGATGATTCGTCACCCCACTCTTTCCAATAACAACAAATGTAAAAACCACCACGTGACCACAAAAAAGTGATAATCGTTGTTTTATTAAGTCAAAACACGTGTCTACACCAGAGACCAGACTTTTGTTTTTAATTCCCTGAGCCTCTGTATCCGGATGTCGGACCATTTCCCGATCTATAAAGTTGCGGCATAGCGCTATATATATTTTCTTTCACCTTCATTACTTCAAAGATGTTATAGAATGATTTTTACCTAACTCTAAGCACAATAATAATAAAATTACAAAATTCTGTTAGTGATACTGCCGGTTGGAATAAAACTCTGGTTTAAGCTTGTCAGCATTATTGCTGGTTGGAGTGATAAAAATTGGAGTGAAAAGAAAATCAAGATCAAGGTCATACTAGGGTTACTCTTTTTGTGGATGATTACAAAACCTCTCCATTCCCGGAATCATTTTTACGAATATCTAGGAAACTAAGACAAGCAGTGGTAACACGTACATATAGGAAAAAGTTGTCTAGAATCAAGTCCTCTACTACATATTTCAAGGTCAGCCAAATTGTTGAGAAAACAGTGTTTTAAATAATTATTCAAACTTTACGTAGATCATAGTACTCGAAAACATTTCTTTAACAGCCGTTTTTTATGTTGGAAAGGTGAAAACCCCTCTAAAAGTTGAAGGTTGAAGATATATTTATTAGAATGTCTCACTTTCATACAGAAGTCACTGACCCGAAAATGAGAAAAAGATTTTTGTGCAAACTTGTATCTGTGATCAGGGGACAAAAAAAGGATGTGCCTGTTTTTAGAACTTTTTGTCTTTCACTACACAGCAATAATCATTAAATACATTTTTGCTCGAATTTCATCTAGGAGAAAGTATTCGGACATATATATATATTGGAGAAGTTGTCATTAAGTTTTACAATATTTTCAACATTTAATTAGTGTTATACAATATATTATCAGTTGCGTTTTCGACAGCCGGAATTGATACCACTTCAGTAGTTAGTATCACGTCACATTCGTACCGGCTCACACTATTAATCGCACAGCTACTATTCCTATGTAGATATCTGAAGTATTTTAAGTAGTTTTTAAAATTACTCTGAACTCAATGTTGCTGAACGATTTGACTTGTTTATTATGTAACACGTGTAAATACGATGCAGCTCATTAAATGGAATTTTATTCACGAACAGGAAACGAGCACAAGTTTTGTAGTAAGTTATGAAGAACTTTCCTGTTTGTCTTCATAGATGTTGCAATATTTGAAGATAATGTCTTTTTTCTGTTTCATCTGGTTAGTAAATACATTCAATATTTTTATATGTTGATGCTATATTTGTACGCTAATACACCTACACAACTCGAAGTACATTATGAATACTAGAAAGTAAAATTAATTTTCACACGTGTTATCAGTTCTATTTCTCTGTTTTAGGATTCTCATTTTGCTCCGTTTGATTTTTATTTTATAATATAGTGAACGGTGGGGCAAGATGAAAACGTTAAACAAAAATTGCTGTGTAATTTTATGTTTGCAAAAAATATTGTGCTTAGTGTATATATATATATATATATGTTTATAAAAATATATTAAAATTGATTTATAAAACTTAATGAATAAAGTGCAAACAAGTAATTTTGAAAATAGTAATAAAGTCTTATCTTGTACAGTGTATGGGGCAAGATGGGACGTATCTATTTGCACATCCCACACATACGAGATATCAATTGAAAACTCGGTTCTAAAGAATTCTAAACTAGTTTTGAATAGAGGAAAGAGGGTCAGAACTCGGACTATAATGTATTTCTGTTTATTCGGAGAAATCGGATGATAAAGAAAACTTCAAACAAAGCTAGATCTCTTTGTTGGACTTTAAAGAATAAGAAAATGACGATTCTTTTTAGAAAAAAAATGTTTTGTTCACAAGAAAACAAGATTTATCTGGTTATGCAAAATCGTTGCTTTGACCCATAGGAGTAGGTATATAAAACCGGGTACCTTTTGGAAGATATACGAAAAAAACATAATATAATTATAAAATATTTTCTCATAAATTAAGAAATGGCAAAAATATTATTTTCAACAATTTCAAAGATTATGAAATTAATCTAATTTAGTTTATCCTATAGAAATTTATGTTGTTATATATACCTACAATATAATTGTAGGTAGTATGAGGCAAAACTGGGAATCCGGTTCTCCCCTAAACATTAAATACTTCTACTTTAGTATATAACAGAAAGGTGAATCAGGGGGCAAAACACCCTGTAAAGACTATAGAATACAAATAGTATTTTTTTTAAATGGATTCTTTATTATCAAGATATAAAACACAGTCACAAAGAAACTACTTTTTCTCCGAAATACTGAAACATTTCAATTTGAAATTTGTAACTACGTTCGCATGGAATACTATGGTAATTTCTGTCCTGGAACTCATTTGGCAACTTTATTTATTAAGGAGTTTCTCAATAAATAATCATTTTCCTGTCCAATGTAGATTTAGGTACCAAAGTCTGCAGCCTCTGTACAATACCCCTTTTTTCTGTATAACTGTTTTAACAGTTTTCTGTATTGATTTTTTCGGACCAACTATGTCTTTCTGTTTTCTTTTCTTTTTAAATTTAAGTGACGCTACGAGAATGTTCTCATCTTGCCCCAAATGTTGCATCGAAATTAATAGATTATGGTTAATGCTCATAAACATATAAATAAAAACCTTACGAAATTGTATATCTGATGGTAATAAAGTGATAATATGTTTGAAAATTTTTACTGAGCTATTAACGTTCAAAAAACGTGAAAGAATAAGAGCGAGAACGCACAAGAACGAAATAAACTGGCTCTAACCAGTGGCAACGTATCGTCCAGTCTATAATTAATATATTCTTTTATTTGTAGCAACGTGACTATATACTAACACGAAACAAACAATTGTCCCGTTTTGCCCAGCGACCTCATCTCGCTTTACTTTCCCCTACTATATTATTAAGAAATAATGTTTTTAAACCATTAGAAATGTTTGGATAATTTTGATCACTTACATAGGGAATCATCACTTAACTTTTCAGTCGCTATTTATTCCGATGCAATAAAATAATATAATGTCATATTTAGCGTTGAATATTAATACGTAAAGCTTCGAAATAAAACAGTTCAGTACTTGAATTTATGTATAACTTTTCTATGTTAGTGTTAGAAAATGCTTCATCAATATTCTATTAAAGAATGATCAGTATTTATAGTGGAAAAAACTTTCGAGTGTAAAGGGTTAATCGTGACACACATATATCATCTTTTTGCTCAAGAGTACGTAATCCATGTTTTCATCGTTTGTATAGAGAATGTTTATAACAGCGTATAATTTTAAATGTAATTTTTATTTAGGCTATGTACAACACATACGTACAATACGTGACCCTTACTTAAAACTATGTTACGCTCACCCGGTATGCATTTCCACTTAATCTTTAACGCCACCTAAACCATTTTTTTTGTTTCGTCGACATACGCGGTGCATGTGATAGTGTATACGTTGTATGCATATGCTCTGTTGTAACGTACACACGTGTATGTATAAGTGCATGTGTGTTCGTATATCGTGTGATATGTTACAAATTTTTAGGAACATTTCGCGTGGAACACCGCGAGTGATATTAATAATAAGATCGCAGTAAAACTACATGAAAACAATGCAGTCATTCTGCAGCTTCATTCTCATTCAATATATGCATTAGACACTTATCGAAAAATGACACCAATATAGACGATTGTTGATTGGACAGACTCCAAATATCACCACTGAAAGGCGCCAGGGAGAATAGGCTTTCAAATAAGAGAAAATTTTCTTCTACAATTAAACTTGTATATTATACAAACAATGTACAGTATTTTATAAAAGAAACGACCCATACTTACTATCATGGAAATTATATTATCGAAACTTTCAGATCGATTGATATATGCAAAGACAACTTATACCTTTTATTACTTTGTCTTGTTAATTGTTCTTCCCCACAGTCTTTTCATTCTTATCGTCATTATAAAAATAAATTAGAAATTCATACATTGCTCTCTTCCCACGACTGGTAAAGTACCTTAAAATGGACAGATTAAAAAAAAAATTTCAAATAATCGTATGAATACATTTCTAATCAAAGTGACATTAAGATTCATAAATATATCGAGGTTATGTTACATAAGTGTTATTTTATAAATGAAATACCTTAATAGTCCCACAAATTTGGTATCGAAGATTAATTTATGCGAATAATATTTCGTAATGTGATTTCATAATGTCGCGACGAATCGCAGAAATAATTACGATAAATACTTCTGAATAATTATCGAAACGTATTTCTTTCCTAGTTGTCAGATTTCTTGCGAGCTTACTTGAAATTTAAACAAATTTTAGCTAATAACAACGGAGAACTATATATAGTGGAGCTTTCGTGATTCGAAACCTGGCGCCTCTCAAATTTCGAACGCAAGGATCGTCAGTTACCCTCAGCTACCCTTCCACTCTGATTATTTAAAATTCTGGCCAACATAAGCACACAAATCAATGCCTAAATTCCACTAAGGATAGGTATGCTTACATTTTTAAAAGGACATTGAAAAATCGCATATGCTAGAATATCTGTTGATTACACTGTATATGTATCTCTCCCTTATTTACAGTTTCCTCCGTTAACAAAAAAATGTTTTAGATCGTTGTTAAGAAACTAATGAAAGATCGTGTGGACCATGTGCGCGTTGGGTTCCTTGTTTCGTATGCATCTCGATCATTTATGTACCAGTACTGTGTACAAAATTGTGAAATAATAAACGTCCGCTTAAATGTTTAATGTACGAGTTTATTTTTCAATATTAAAGTGTAAAAAATAACGCGAAGTGAAATTCAGAAAAAAAAAGGAATTGAAAGACGTTAAGTGTTCTTAAATTTATTTAGTATACAATCAAATGTTCGTTCCTACGAAAATGAACGCCATTAATCGACAAAAGTACGTACATTTGATTAACATTGACCTAACAAACAATTCAAAAATGAATTACTAATCCTATCAACAAATATACTGCTAAGTTATAAATAAACAATAAACGGTAATTTGAGATCTGTTGTATTGAACTTTGTTGTAATGCAAGAAAGGTTGTAGCCTCTCAAATTAATTACACATTCACATTGATGAATATTCGTTATAAAATTATACACATGTAAATATGTTCGACGAGATACTGTGTGACTAGAAAAGAAAACGATATTACTAGAAGTTAAAGGAAAGAAAAATAGTCGAAGCGAACACATCTCTTGCATCCTGCACACAATGCTTGAAATTTACGGAGATAAACACTTGCACTAATAATTGTGGAGTGTGTGCGAATACGTATATCTAATGGGAGATACTAAGAGATTAACAAAGTAGTTTACCAAAATATGACTAACAGTATAATGAAATATTTGCTGTGCCTCATTATTTTCAACATATTAATCAGAGTCCATTTTTTCTAGTACAATGTTAATAAACAAATTATTCTGACCAGACTTCGAACGTTTGCACGACAGATTTCGTGCTGATTGAGAGTTCGATTTTCCCTCTCCTGAAAAGCGTCACATGAATTATTCAAGTTTCTTTCTTTCTTTATCGTCGTACATTCCTTCGGTGATATTTCGAAATATTGTTCTCTGTGTTTGTTTTTCCATCCGCAACGGAATTCAGCAATGTTGCATTGTCTTAACGGAGATACGTATTCAAGTACTTAATTCTCGAATAACTCATTCATACACGTTTAAAATTATGTTTGATACTGTAGCATCGGAGCAGCGAGATTCGGATGATGAGCCGTATTCATTCTCAAAGCTGAGATACTTTTGTTGTACCATTCGTCTTCCGCTGACATACCTGAAACAAGACAATACATTAGTGTTATTGAAATTTGTAACATCTTTTTATTATATTTTATCAGCTTAAATTATTACTGAGCTATAGGGGAGACTGAGGTAAATTGGCACAAGGGCAAGTTGATACAGTCAAACTTTCTGAACACTAAGTATATGTAGCTCGATCAAAGAAACATGTTCGAAAGTCAGGTTTTATTGATTTATTTTGAACGTCGTTCATCTGCATGAATTGCCGTTAGTAGTTATATTATTGGGTGTGTTCGTTTTTATGGCGCAGAAGTAAATTTTCGAATTTCGAATTATCAGCGAAATATAATAAATATAATAATGTTCGAATTAATTTGTGTTCTGACAGAGCTACTTCAAAAGTAAGAGAATTACGTTTTGTTACTTTATTTATATGCTCCACATTTTTTTATTAAGATGTTTTTATGTAATGACGTCGTTTGGAGCAAGTAGAAAAAAAAACTATAATACTATGCATATATTTTAAAAAATGGGCTCAGATGAAACACTAAATAAATATTTCTTTTATACTTGTTTCCTTCTTTATTTTGTATAATAAAAATAATTATTAAAAATCGTACCAAGCTTTTTTATACATTGCCTCCATCAAATAAATGTTTCACCATTTTTTTTATATAGTTTTCCAAAGTGTCATCTACAGTATACAGAGAGGAAGATATAAAGTGTAGTTCAACATGGTTCTCATTAGATAAATATATAAATAAAAGTTACAGAAAGTAAAAACTAAAAATCTATCGATTCGTCCAATCTCCCCAATTTATCAACATAAAACTCAATAAAAGAATGTTAATCGTATTTGCAATCTAAAATAAAAAATTTGAAATTCATCAGTTTCACGGATTTGATTGTTCTAGTGTTAAGTATTTAAAACATTTATAATACGTATTATAGATTCGACTATTTTAGTGTTCTTGTTAGATATGAGTATCTGAGTATTTAGGTACAAAGTTTTTGGATTTGAATTGAAATGTTCAATTTTTTTAGTGGGAAATTTAAAAAAATGTTACAAAATTTAGTAAAATATGATAGGTCTGGACAAAATTTTTAAGGAAAATGGAAAGATTTTAAAGAATATCTAATAGAATATATAACAATAAGAATATATAACAAAAAAGAATAAGAACATATAATATTTAAGTAATGAATAAACGGAATGTTGAAAATTTGTTAGGAAGTTATTGAAAATAAAGATAGTAATTATTTTGATAAAGGAAGGAATTTGATAGGGACACATTTTTTTGTTAGTTGTAAATTAATTTTATCGTATATTATATGCACAAGCGAATTATTGTAGTACGTAAATTTTTTGTTGTAATAAAAAAATTGGAATTTAATTTTATAAGATTTTATTTAAGTGCTTACAAAATTTTGAAAAATACCTCACGTACATATATTGATGATAAAGACTGTTGCCTACGATACTCCGACTACCTAAATGTCACAAACCTTGTATAGATGAACTTGTCTGAATGACTATTTTGATCGTAGAATTATGTTTGAAACACGAACACCAAATTGAAATAATCAAAGCTACTTACTTACAATTTCGTTATTGGCTACTGTAGAGACTAAAATTACATTTACTGACCACCTCTCAACAAAATTCGTGAGACCTTTTCAGCTTTTATAAAGTTTGAGTTCAAAATATGCTCAAGACTTTCAATAAATGTCATAGTTGAAAATGTAATTACCTACATAATCTGAAATCTATTAGAAATCCATATAATAAATGAAAGTAGAAGAAATATATTATTTATTAACATATTTGCAATTTATTATACTACGCAGACTGGTACATAAGGCATTATGTACTTTAGTGCATTACAGTTTACACTTTGTTATGGTTCAATTTCATTCCTAGTTAATTTATGAAGACTATTCATGTTAAAACCGTTCATTTACTTTCATTTTTCATTTCTTTCTACGGAAAACATTTACCACCTAATTCGAAGGTGAAAACAGATGACGACTTAAAGGCTCTAGATAAATTTTTATCGCTACCAATAGCTTTCGTTAAGTGAAATAATCGAGAAAAGTACAGAAGAGATATATCGGGTGCCCCATTTTAATCTATAAATTATTTCCGGAACTGTGCGTTATTTAAAAAGTATCTCAAATGTATATTTTCTCTTTTGATTGGTGTTCGACTCAGACAGGTTAACGCCCTTTTGTAGGAAATGAACTGTTCCATCGATGGATGCAACAAAATTACGTGATTATACTTGAACAAACGGTAATGACCTTCGTATCTGCTTCACACGACCGCCTAAAGACAAACTATATAAGTGTACAAAATTATTGCCTTCTCGAAACATACAAAATTGCATTTGATACATTTTTCAAATAATGCACACTCTCGGAAGCAATTGCATTTATAGATGAAAATACTACACCTTGTATTTCGTTTTGCAACGTGTATCTTATATGCATATCGCGTGTATGCAGTATGCAATATTATAAGAGCATTTCATTTTACGAAAACGGTGTTTACTAAACTGTGTTGACTAAACATAAGGTAATTATTTAGGAAAGAAACCTTCAACGCTCTTGAAATGTATTGTCAGTATCATGATTCTGAATAACTTCTCCCTTATGTGTCACCATCGGTCGGCTTTAGTTCGTGAGATATATGCATAAATATATTTACTATTTCAATACGTGGAAGTTTATTTGGATGAGTTAGCAAATCTAAATAAGAGTTAAATCAGCACGAATTTAACTTACTGTTAAAGTAGGCATTCTATATCATTCTAAACTGAGTTAGAAATTGGAAACATTGCTTCTATTACGTTAAAAAGCACGTTAGCGCGTAAATACTTTTCAATACGAGAATTTTTGAAAAGAATAGAGTATTTATATGTATGAAGATTATGTGAAGGTCAATTTTGTTTTCATAAATAAAACTCTATATTTTTTTCTCTCGAGTCGATGGAGTTTTTTATTCTTTATAAAACCTATTAACCTATTTATATCATAAAGCCAATATAATAGTTTAGGAGATATGAATATAAATTCATAAATAATGTATAGTATTATACACCATTATATCTATTCTTGTTACAATAATTATGTGATTGCCATTAGCATTTAAAATACTTGACATAATGAAGAATAACTCAAATTTTCCTTTGATAGTCGTAGTAGATGAAGTTACTGATATGAGTAGAATTATGTACCTAAGCTTAAAGTCGCAATAAGTGAGCAATTTTTATCCAACTTTTCATTCCTAACACCTTGTCGAATTACTATTATTTGTTACATATTTTGTTGATACTTACAATAATTTTTATCACAGTTTTGTTGCTATGTTATATGCATACATCGATATATTTCCAGTCTGAACGAAGGATCACTTATTTTATGAGATATACCGAGGAAGGTACTTTTAATTCTTGCACGCGCGTCCGGGTTATATATATATATATGTATATCTGAGCCAGAAAAAAAAAGAAACAACAAACCTTTGCGTCCTAGATTAAAGAATTAATGAGTGTATATATCGTTACAATAGAATGTATTTAATAATGCAAAAATTAAAGAATTTTCCTTCGATGTATTTGTTTTATTCGAATATAAGTATTTAAATGTTCGATGTTCTATGATTTATCCTCTGTTATGAACAGTTCAAAGGAGAACGGAAAGCAATTATTTCGATCTTAATCTTTTTTTATTTTCTGTACAATAGAAATATTTGTGTATACATAAATTATACTTATAATGTTCATATTATGATTTTCTGATTTTCAAAAATAAATTTATTATCAATAGTTTCAATATAATTGTATAACGACGAAGTAAATGCCTATATCAGATTTACTTTTCGCATGCACACATATCAGTTCATCATTATCTGTATGAACCAGTGTCATAGTTGAATTTTAAAAGTTAATATTTATTGGAAGTATGTGTTTGTAAAACAGAAACATTCACACTCAATTCTTATAGTGATTTTTCATTATTATTTACATATTCAACCGCAGCTGATACAATTGCAACTATAAACACAGCTGAATCTCATATATTTCCATTTTGATATTTATATTTTATATTTTATTATACAACATCGCATTGTTCTATCTACTTTTTACAACTAAGTTTTGAACTAATCATCGCTCTGGTCTACAATGGTAAACACCTTTTTCCATGAATCAAATAAAATTAAAATTATTATAAACAAAGACGTCAAATATTAATTACACTCAATAGTATTATCACTGTTGACAAGAATTTGTAGCTATTTGTAAGTGAATATTCGACTTAACACAGAGTTGGTATGCAATGGCGGTTCACCCTTCTAGGTCGGGTACATCTAGACGGAGGAAACGAAATCTCTTTTTTTATCAGAAAGCAATCAAATAATTCGATTTAAAGACTTTCCTAGGAGCCTTCTCGTGGCCGCTAATCGATCGATTTGTTATTGCATTAAGGCGTTAAATCGTTACGAGGACCCGCGATATTGGTAGAAGACCTACGCTCCATCTGAACGTCGACACGAAGAGCTGCTGACAGCCAATTCGCGAATAGTCTTGATTCGATTTAAAAGCGATATTCCATCTTGCGCCGGAAATGATGTAAGACGGCGCTAGAGCGGAAATAGAGAGAACGTCTTGGACTGAACGCACGTTTGCACGGGTATCTGATTCTCATCATTTCCGCACGGGCTTTTTATACAATCAATCAATAACACTGCGTGAACACCTACAATAACCAGAATGGTTTAAGAAGTCGTTGGTACGCTCAGTTTTAAATAAATCACGAAGATATCTTTTTATAAAATATCATATCGGCATTGTGTACAAAAATGTACTAAGTGTATAATTTTATTTTACATGTTTATATTAGATCAGCTGACAATTTCGTTTTAAACTTAAATGTTTTCCTTACGTTTTGAGAGTTTGATGCTTCAGCCTCGATATTGCTCTAAAAATCATTGTTTACTTGGTGAAGCAAACAACATAATGATACGACGATAAATAACGAAATTTAGAACAATTTTTATATGACAATCGCAAGCGAAGAAGGTCTTGAATTGAACCGAAGTCAAACTATTAACTGAGAAAATAAATTCACGTCTAGAGTTTTCATGGGGTATTAACTATTTGTTAGTACATGACTAACAAATCGGATATTATGTAGATTCCTTTTATTTTTAATTGTATTTATATAGCCAGTTATGTCCGAGAAATCACTCAATTCACAGGTTAAGAGTATTGTTTGCATTAAATCGTGTAATATGAAATGTCCGATTTTTCTTTCTCATAAATGTTTATACTTCTGTTGTTCTTATTCCTTTGCTTTTCATATAACCTCTTAAATAATTTCATTGTGGATTATCAGAGTTCTTTCTGCAAAAAAGTTTTTCCGTATTGTGCATAATAACTATTCCTTACGCCGTTTTTTTGAAAACATGTAAGTCACGAACATTCGTATAATTTCGGAAATAATACTGTAAAAACCGCTCAAAATATAGACAAAGCATTTAGGGATAATACTGTGAATGAAAGAACAGTGTACCGTTGATATGCAAAACATGTTTTCGGTGATGTTTCTTTGCAAAATGAGCCGCGTGGCAAACCCGAAACAGTAGTTAATAATGATGTCTGTAGAATTTATTCATTATAAATGTCCAGAATTTTTCAAAAACTGAATATATTCATTAAAAACACCTTGACAGAAGTGTATCCAATCGAATAGAGCACATTTTGCTTGAATAAACGTTTTTTAGAATATCAAATAAGGTTTTCTTTTTTCCGCGAATTCCGATATTCTATATTACCCGACCTAATATGTTAGAAGTTCTAATAATTGGATAACATTGTTCATATGAACTATTATCATTAATAATTCTTTTATTTCTGGTATAAAATTACTTATGAGTTAATGTAATCACATTTTCTGATACCGGAGCTAGACAAATAGTTCTATGACAAAACAATAAAGAGTGTTGTTCCAATATTGCTTAAATACACTTCAAATTAGTGAAAGAAATTTCAAGAAAGACCTTCAACACAAAATTGCCATTTGTTTTTTCCAAATATTTCAAAAACTAAAATGTATTTTATTATTACATACGAGCAGGCTTAGTTTCATTAAAAGAAATATCAAATACATGTATACAATTAATGAAATTTGTATTGAATAAAAGGAAATATTGAACCAAATTCAACTTAGCAGACTTTGTACTAATATTTAAAACGAACACTTACTCTGTGCATCAATTTAATACTGTTATTAAACTGACAAGATCTTGAGGCTTATATATTTAATTGAGGCAGTGATAAATTTTGTAAGTACGTCATACAATCTGTAATATTTAACAAGTTAAAATTTCAATAAGGTGATAATTAACAGTTGAATTGAAGTGAGGAGCAGTAGTACGTTGAACTAAGTACTTAAGTAAGTACATAGATATGCCTAGGCTTAAAATTTGGTTATCTACTTATTTTGTAATATTTTTATAATGTAATCTAACTAAAAACTACTTTATCATAGCCCCGATCTTTTACAAATAATTTTAGTTACGTTTATATCGAATAATATATAAACTAAAGCATCTAGAATTCAATAAATAAAGTAGTTAATAAACTTACCCATTGCATCTTGTCTCATACCAGTAACTGCCGACATGTTCGATGCAGAATGTGACATGGAAAACGGTTGTGTCATACTTGGATAAGACGTTGTACCCATCTGTAGAAACATATTCACATTGTAAACTCAAGATAATGGTTTATTGGAATACGTTTAATTTTATTAAAAATCGAAGTGTTATACGTTTCATGAAAAAACAGTAATGTTGACAAAGAAACAGTATATAAGCATAAGTACTTAGATGTGTAAAAATTAGAGATTTAATATATTCTTCCCTATTTATTTTATACACATTTGTAATAGCAATCACATATTTATATGTCTGATATTTTAATTTTTAAATTGTATGCATTCCATTAGAAAGTTCACAAAGCTCTAGTGATTATGTACATATTTATAAGATTTCAACCTTGCTTTGTTTGAAAAGTTTTTATTTATTTTAACATGCATAGTTTTAGAGTGTACAGTTCCATATACATGAAAAATTGATATGTTCTTGTACCAAATATTAACTTATCATCGTAAATATTTCATTTTATTTAACGTTATTGATCTGGTATTACTTTTTTAACCATCGTTCATCACATTCATTCATAGTATATTTACTTACACTTCTGATTAATTTAACAATTTGATAGATACAGAAAAATTATCGTTCAACATAAAATATTTACAAATCTGTTAAATTTTGAAAGGTGCAAATTTTATGAAAATTTGACTTCTGCATCTTTATGAGCATCAGAAGAAAATATACGTAGTTTAAAATTAATGTATAAATATTGAGCTCTGAACAATAGAATTAAACACGACTTTCACTAGATTAAAAAATTCATGTTACTTTCAAAGAGATCCAATAATAAACGTTTATGATAATTAAGATTTAGGAATTGGAACACCGGCGTTTGAGGATTATTATTGTAATAAGCTGTGTGCCACATTAAGTTTATCAACGAATAGTATCTGACTTTTAGAATAGATGATGCTTCCTCATTTTCTTGATGCATACATATGGCAGTCTTTCGTTTAAAAAAACAAGTGTCTTTATTTTTTTTTAATCGATATTATGTGACAAAATGAATGACCCTTTTAATTATCCTAATGATAAAAATATAATAAAACAATAAAAAGATTATCTGATTATGTAATCCCAAATTTTTATTTTGTTGAACCTCTGCGAAGTCTGCTTGATACTGAGAATTTTAACTTTGAAACATTTTTTTTAAAGTTCTTGATGTGAGGACAAGATGATAATAGTTTGTAAATTAATGTTATTAATACATTCTCCAATAAAGCGTGTTTTATTTGAAAAAGTACAGCTACCACTGCATAATTCCATACTAGATAAATATTCCGACGTTAGTGTTTTGTCAAACACAATGTTAATTATATTTGAAAGTATTGTAGTGACAAGTAATTTTGCTACTACAAATCAGGAACAGTATGTTAATTATATACATAATGTAACATTTTTTATATTATTTAATTGTAAGAATGTTATTTATACACAATATACCTACATAGATGGTCTGAAATTTTCTTGTCCAAAGTCAAGCAGAATGTAGTTACTGGAGACTTTTAAAATAGAATACTTAATTGATTATGACTCACATTTTCAATGGTTGATTACATATAATTCTAATTGTAATAATTACTCTGTGTTATAATTAACAATTACAGAAAATTAATTGTAGTCGGATTAAAAGTTATAATTTAAACGTCCTTGTTAATTTGTAATAAAAAATTACGTAGTGTCCAATTCTGTTGTGATCAAATTGTTTCAATCTGATTTATGAACAACAATTAATATGTCGGAAACTATATAGCTAGTTGCCGCGTAGTATTGAGAAGCTGTTATAGACATCATAGAAAACAACTCTTTACAGGTATTTCACCAGTACAATGTTTCATGTACGTAAAAAGAAATATGGTTTTCATTGTTATACCCAACAGAAAATCAAATACAATATATATTCATAAGAACATAAATGAGAGTAGAATAAAATACGTAAAAATGGTATGAAATAAAAGTAATAAAATACTGTAATATCGTTATTAAGTAAAGATTGTTAGAAACCTAAAGAAAGAACTACTTTTAATGGAGAATATAAGTAGACTACATATTGTTAATAAATTTTCACTTATATTAATAAATACTAACTACATATTATTCATTAGATAACAAAATAAACGTTGAAAATACAACGTCACTATACTTATGATATTATTTATAAATGTTAAATCCTACAGTATTAAATAAATTTATTATTAGACTGCAAATGTTTATGCATTCTGTTATTTGTAACTTCAAAATTCAAAGATCAACATGAAATAGAAATTAGTTTTGTAGACAAAAAGTTTTAATTAGAGGTTTTATTATTCGAAGATACAAGTAAATACTCGAATTACTCGCTATAATTCGAAATCTGAGTATGCAAATATTCAAATATCCGTATTTATGTACAACTGGGAAATGACTTGATGTCCAGTGAACCGCCACAGCGGCAAAAAGTGTATTTCTAGTTTACAGTTTTATAGTTTTGATTGGTTGCATGTAGCCTTATTGACGAATAGTAAATTCTAACACCCGGATCTTACCATCGTATGTTTTATATAGTTTCGTGCCCTACATAGGAAGCCATACATATAACTATACTACTTAATCAGATACGTATTCAAAGGTAATGTTGAACTCCCAAGTAGAAAAAAACAATCGCAAATATTACTTTTTAATTGATAATTTTCTGTACTTGTATAATATTGCTGCAGCCAACATATCAAAAAAGTAAGTATAAATGTATATAATGTAGACTACTACGTAATGTATTCCTTCAAAACATAATTCAGTACTAGGCAATAATGAATGATTATCGACAACTGTTAATTGATCGAACGAGATAAAAAAGCGATAAACATATTTATAAATGCGTAATTGTTTGCCTTTTGTGTCATATATATGAGATTTTAGACTGTACAGACACGATAGATCTTCCATTATTGAAGTCAATAAGGGGACATGTATGTTCGGACAATAAAATGACAGCTTTCGCCTTGAATGTAAATATCATATTGAAATATTGTGAAAAGATATTGTTTTGATAAAAGAAAAAGTTCAGATAATAGAATTCTCTACTACAGTCAATTATAAGTCAGGATGGTACTTGAAATTGGTAAAGCAAATGTGTATTGGGATATTTAGATCTTCAAATTTAAATGAAACGATCATTTAATTATTGAAGTATAACTTTGATAGACGTGTAGGTATTCAAATACGTAAAACCCGGATATCTGTAAATCCAGCAATAATAAAGGCCTTAGTTTTAATATATTCAAAATAATAGAGTAAATGATTACATGAAATTTGATTTTATCATTTGTCCTATTGTTTTGCGTATTTTGTAATATTTAAGGTGAAATTCGCTAGCAACTTCGAATATAAACCGAAAATTCGATCGAAGAGTATTTCAAAACTTTTTCACCGACAAACCGACATACCGGAAGAATTATTGACTTAATTAAAGCAGTAGGCATTCGGTAATCTGTCCGACCCAACTAATCAGTCGAAATGCAATTTAGGTACATCGACCGGTAGCGATGCGCCGGACGGCCAGGTGCACTTCAATTTAATACCTCGGTTGAAATCATTAACGAGAAACGCATCGAATTCATCTGGAGGGGCATGATACGTTAGCTTTTGAATGTGAAAAACTGATTGTTATATAAGGAATTTAATTATACATTGAACAAAAAATGTGAACCTAAAATTAAAAATTTTCATTCTTTCTGTCTACTTCCCATTGAATTTTAATCGAACGTCTCGATCGAATGTTGATCTGCCAAATTTTCATGGATATTATATAACTATACTCAGAATTTTAACAGCCGTAATTCCATTGCGATTTAAAGTAAATGATCCTTTTACCAGATATATTAGAATATACTTGATTTATAATAATTATTATTTACACGTTCATTGTATCTCTCTTTTGTTCATTGCTGACGATTCCTCTCTCTTAATTTACTCAGATTTCAAGTAAAACATTCTGCATTTGAAGATTATAATTTACAATTATAATTTACGCATTATAATTTACGTATTTACAATAAAAATTATTATCGACCTTCTGCTGATATCTTCCTTATTGGCCGATTTACGTAAACTGTCTTCATTTTATTTAATTAGTAGTTGAACCTTTCTCGTCAATGAATGTGTGAGTTTACAGATTCGTAAACTGTTTTGTTATATAGAATGAATGTCAAATATCTATCTATATTTGTTTAAAAATAATTACAATAAGAAAACTAATGAGGAGTAAAAATATTTAGTAACGTAAATAAATAGATAGTACTGTAACGTGAGAGCTGTAATGTCAAATTGCTAATAATTTATTCTAATTCCATCTGTCTCTGTTATGAGGGAACAAGTAATATTATACGGAAGGCTCAAAATTCACTCGTCAGTCAACGTGTTAATACTCGTTGTACATTTACCTACTAGTATCTAAGTTATTAAAAGTTTAGTTAATGCAGCTGGAAGTAACCTTGCTCATATTTACAAAAGTATCCTATTAAATACAATATTTTCAAATATTTTTTCCACGCCGAACTTTATAATTTCAAAATAATTAAATTTATTTCGATAATTAGAAAGAAATGTGGCGTTTGATTTATGAATTAAAAGATCTCATTGATTAAAAAAAATCTATAAACAGGAAAAATTGATATACGATATTGTATTGATTATGAAACAACGTTAAACTGTTTCTTCTCTTGTTTCATTCGTTGCCATTTATAGAGAAAGTTCTATGTCATAATAACGTGAACACCCTGTAAGCAAACTGTAATAACAGAATATGCTTAAATTGAATATTCACGAGAAATCTGAAATTGATACATTAATTCAATTGTTTCCTACGTCACTTCCATCGCGAATAAAATTGCTTTAATGATGTTGTACGAGAAATTGTTTTTTATATGCCCCGTCGTCTACATATATACGTTTAATATAGCGAGCATACAATGCGTTCACTTTACGACAAAATGAAATACTTACTTGTGGATAGCGGTTTATGCCATTTATGCTATTATGGGGATGTGGATACGGCTGATAACCTCTGGTAGCACCAGGATAGATATTTCTCATCATGGCACCTTGGCAAGCAGGGATTGGAGTCAAGGCTTTTTGAAGCTGTTTCTCTTGTTTTCGATATTTTGCTCTTCTGTTCTGAAACCAAACCTGTTAACAAGAAAAATTTGTAAGCGCCTTTGAACACCGACAATTATTAGTTTTTGATACACATGTACAGCTGTTTAACGCGTTGACCGTCACGGTGGTCACCGATGACCGGAAATTTCAAATTGCTTGAAAATAATCGCAATAAGAAAATTGATGTTGTACAAAAACATTTATTAAAGGCGCCACTAATTGACCTGGTATCAGTAGTTGACCATTTTTTACGAAAACGTAAAGATTTTTAAAAGTAATAATCTTTTGATAAAAGCGCGATAAATATGCTGCAGTATCTGCTGACGCAACTCCGAAACACTTTTACCTGAACTGAATTGTTTATCGTAAAAACTAACAATTTATTTCATTGACGTTCATTGACCTCCAATTTCCAACATGGAATTAACTTTTTTCCATTTGTATCTGTCCTTTTACTTGTAATTTGTCATAATCGTTGCAAATAAACGATATTAAAGTAATCACCTTGAGTGTTGTAAGTGGTCAACTGCTAACTAACATATAGTCAGTCACTAGTTTTCTCGTTTTAAAGGATGGTCAATTTCTGACGCAAGTATTGAATTTTCAAAATATCTATAAAATTTGGATAATATAACTATTTCGAAAAAGTTCGCTTTGTTAGATAATGTAAGAAGTTTAAATAGCATTTTCACACTTAGAGTCTCCTTATTTAATAAAGGAACAAGCGTTCACTATTATTCATGCAGAAAATTTTTCTTAACTGGTCAGCTACTGGTGATTTTACCTTAATATGATATTAAATCATTAATACTTATTTCCAATTCCATTTGTGTTCGTTATGATAGAATAAATATGATTATACAAAATGCTAAAAATCTCGTGGCAGTCTATGTGTTAATAGAAAGAAGGCGCCAGAAAGAAACACAGGCCTAATTGATCAAACTGAAAGAAAGCACACCTCTTCTCACATGAATTTTCAACAGTAATTCTTTAAGTGCCATGGTCGAATACATACGCCCGGCGAAAATCATCTATGTGACCTATAAACGCATATGTGTATTTGCCGATATTTTTGATCTCATATATATATATATTGCAATGATAATTATAAACACAGGATAATTCCAAATGAGATGGTCTGATCTCATTTAACACTTTCAATGCCTTTAAATATATAAAATGGAAAGAGTATAATGTTAAATCATTTGATTGAATTGCATTATTATTATTGCACGCTTATCTAGCTGAATGTTATCGGATTATGTAGTGTTATTTATAGTCTAGAAATGTTTTCAAACAAACATCGTTTAATTGAGTGAACTATAGTAATTCGATTTGGTTGGGGATCACCGGAGTCCCTATGGCATTCAACGTGTTAAACTGTCAAATGCCTATATTTTCAATTGTTCTTAGTGTTATACTAATTCTCGTTACTTGTTAATTGTGAAATTTTGTTTGAAGAATCTCTTGTTTTACACGCAATAAAATAAAAAGCTGAAGCGTGTACTCGTCAAACGCAGGACGATTGACACCTAGGGTATATTTTAGTGAAAAACCGAAGCAAAACAAAGAAAAATTACATATTTATGTAAAAAATAAGAAATTCATTGTTGAAAGAATTTTTATATGTACCATATATTAGCCAAACGCAGTTAACACATTGCATATTGGTAACGAGAAATCTCGTTTGCATATAAAGACACTTGGCTATGTAACTTTGCTAATTACCACAGTATTGAAAAAAATATTAAATTTCATTAGAACTGATTATCTATTTAAAATATATTACATAACAATATGATATTTGATTTTTTCATTGTATAATGATATAAGTTGATCTCACTGAAAATAATTTGTGCAATTTGTTAACTAATTAAACATTCTTTGCATATGTAATTTACTTTCATAAATATATTTTGTTTTATTAGGTATCAATGATATTTTTGATGTAATAGTTGTTTCGAAAAGAGTGGGCCATCTATCCTCGATGTACCTTATGAGATGTATCTACTCTTTCTTGAAATTAATTCATTTGGCGAAGCTGATGAATTATAATTATACTTGACAAGTTACACCTTGTATCAATGAACTTTAAGCTATCACTAATTCAGGTATTAAACAAACTGAAAAAGTATTTCATCTAGCCCGAGCGTTTCAACTGGCAGTATTCGGTACTCAAAGGGCTAATGTGCTATTCATCAGTATAGTTACATAATAATCAATCAATACTATGAACAAAACACACAGCGAAAGACTCCCTTTGCTCCTGTGCATACTCGAGTGCCAATTTTCCATCAACGCACAGTACACACGTTTGAACCAACGGAGTAGACAGAATTTAAACAGTTGTTACTGTATCTGAATAAAAGATTTATTAGTACACTGCAGGTTTTTGTGCAAAATCGGAATTTTCCAAAATAATTTAAAGAATCATGGGTTCAGTAGAAACTGGCGTCTTATTGTCATAAATACGTAAACTCTGGACGATATTTATCAGTAATGAAATGTAATATATATAACATAAAGTATTTTGATTATTTAAGGACTTTGTTAAAGAATACTTTGTACTTCGAGGAATGTATGTACAATTAAATCTTACGAGTGTTTTTGCTGTGTAAACAAGATATATCTGTATCAAATGACTTGAATAAACGCAAACCTCCAAAAATAGGAATGGTTTTCACATGACAGGCCTTTTAAATTTTGAGATTTACAATTTAGCGTTTCATGAGCTGTTCACTTGCAAATTGATTATATCCACAAAATAGGAAGTGCACAAATATCGGTGAAGGAAATAGTATGTCTTTGTTATCACAGCATCTGAATCGAATAGTTGGATTAATTATATCATAATAATAAACAATAATACAACACAATTGATAAAACCGGCAAAGAACTCTTTGTTCAAGCTCGCTTTGAGCTCGTGTACCTACGTTATGTTCTTTAATCGCCTTAATTTCTGAAATATATGTACAATAGTATCATTCCATGATCAAAAAAGTTCCTGTCATTTCATAATGTTAAAACAATTATTAATGAAATTTATTTCAGATATAAACAGGTAGGTGTAAATTGAATGCTATGATATTAAAATCTCAAGAAATTCAGAACATGGACTTGATCAATTTATATGATACATCCGTAATTACGTTATCTTCATACCAGTTAAATATATAGTAAATGCAGACTTTATCGATTGTAGAATTTGTATTTAAATGTCTAGACAAATGACCTGACAAAACACATGTAAATAATTTCATTTAGGAAACGCAACTTAATCGTCACATCTCTTATGTTAATATTGTACATAATAAAAAATTCTCCTAATTCAAAAGTTGTACCTATTTCCACAAGGCACTTAATTCTTTAATTATTTGGTACATCCGATATAAAAATTCTGCTAAATCTCTTTTCTTATTTATTATTACGTACAATTGTTAATTAGTTTAAACTTCTACAGTTTATCCATAATGTATGTGTGGAAATCTTCATCTCCTTCGAATGATTAGCTGTGATTGCGAGTACTGTATCATTCATTTAAAATTAACTACTTCGGTTCTCCTTCTTCTGAGTGTTTGTTATTTTCTTGAAACAACGAAACGTAAGAATAAATTTCCGTGAATTTTGGTATCAAAATGTATAATTCGTAGTACCCTCCTTGTCAAGCAAGATAATAGCTAAAATACTCATGTTTTCTTAATTTATTAAGTAGTTTTATTCTCAGGCATCTCTTTGTGTCTTGTAAATTGCTTATCTTCTATGTTACTTAATTTAATAACGTATTAATTGATCAACAACTGGTAAAACTTTGTAAACCTTATATTTTCGGATAACATGCGTATATATCTTCATTGTTCTACAATTTATTAAGTTTAGTAAGTAATAAAATTCATGAAACATTAACTTTTTAGACATTTCTGTTTACGGTTCGAATTTAATAATTTTTGTTCACTTGCTGGAAAACAAAGATTCGAATTATGATTGAGATTATGCATTTCTTTCCTGCAATAGTTAATTACTTTGTCGAAGTAATTTCAGAATCAACGCGTTTAAAAATAGCGGCAGTATTTCATATTCAGTTCTTTTATTATATTAACTTTAACGTTACGTAACATTTTTTTTCATTTCGGGTGAAAATTTAGAAATATGACTGGACTTCAGATATTTGTAGGTACAATTTTTAATTTTTAAATATAAATTTCCAATATTGAATGCCAAACAGAGACTTATTACCTTTACAAAAATTTTTCATTTGCTCAAAGTAATCTAAACATTTTAAAAATTTCATTGCAATCCCTTACATTGTTGTCATACATTTACAGTTTCAAAAATACTACAGTCCCCGATGAAAAAATTAGGGCCAGCATACTCTTTGTGACGCATTTTTTCGCAGTAATCATAATATTAGAAGTCCAAAAGGTAATTTCATAATAATTTCTTTATTGTAATGGTATCCCTTTATACTCTAGAAGTGTTTCACTGGAAATACAAAAATTTTCTAATAAGATACTTTCCAAAACTAAACTGAGGAGAAATCGCACACACATTGAAGAGTGAAACCATTTTATTTCAATATTTCACATATTGATGCATTATGCAAAGTTTAATACTAAATATCAAACTTTACAATTTTGCTGTGTCAAATCAGTTGGCAACTGAGAGGCGCCTTTGGGGTGCAAAGGGTTAAGACCAAGGGTTAAGCAAAGAAATGAAGCCTAAGTTATAAAAAATTAGTATGAGAAAACGACCGGGCAAGAATTAGATTGCTGATTCATTGCTGATTTTCTCAATGATGACATCAATGGTGGTCCTAATTTTTTATCAGGAACTGTAAATATAAATGCGTAAACATCTACAATTTGAACATCACGTTACAAAAATGAATATAACTTAATTAATCTATTGTCGTACAATGGGGAGTGAGCCTTGCGATGAAGATTTTCAGATTAATTTAATAAAAATCAATGTTGTCCATTGCCTACAAATCAAAGTGAAAAACTATTTCGCTACTACCAATTTATTACATTTAA